CTTGGAATATCTTGGTTATCTTCATATTACCCTATCAAAGTGGGCAGAGGAGGGATGGTTATCCTTGCCATACACATGGGAAACCAGGGGGCATGGAGAATCTGAGTGACTTGCCCAAGGTCACTGAGCAATGTGATAGGACCAGAGACAGAGAGGGGGATCTCAGATGCCAACTAATTCAGCCCCCAAGGAAAAGCGGAGTGACTTACCCAAAGTCACACAAAATAGTAAAGGACAGAGGTCCTGTGTGACTCCCTGTCCAGCATGCTACACTGTGCCATGCTGCCTACCCTACACAGGGTTGTTAAGAAAGTGTTTATTAAACCTTAAAGTTCTATAGAAATGTTCATGAAGAGAAAGGCCCCAGGTGACCTCTTACCAATAGGTGGTTGTGCATTGATTCCACGCCCAATGCTAACTCCCTGTACCCCTCTTCAGCTGTATTGAGGCCCTGAGCACCTGGTGGAAGGGGCATTCGTAGACAGGATCATAGATTTAGGGTTGGAGGGCAGCTAAGATGTCATTGAGTCCAAATTCCTCATTTTTCAGATGAGGAAATAGATCAGACGGGTGAAAGGATGAATCCGGGGAGCAAAGGGGTTTTGATAATACTAACCCATGCCCCCTCCCCACATTTCTGCCTTCAAAGGAGGATTTGATGCTAGCTGGGGTCTGCCAGCATTGAAGTAATCCTCAGTCCTAATGTGAAGAAGGGGCAGTGGGACCACAGGACCTTTGCCCAAAGAAAGGGTTCTTTCACCTGAGAGGGCTCTCCTTGGCTGTCCCCATCACAATCAGACCTGTCCTGAGGTCTTGACCCTGGTGCTAGGCCCTTTTCCTGGACCAGAATGGTCTGTCTAGCTCAGAGGGTGATCTGTGGTGATCAGCTTGTATCATCTGGAGATTCCCCAGGTCCAGACTGGCTGGTTACATGCAGAAGATGGCTTAGAAGGCAGGCTTCAGATGAGATGGTCTCTGAGGTCCCTTACCCCTGTCCTGCATCCCTTTTCCCCCTCTATTCCCTCCCCCTGGGGCCACATTGGGAGGAGGAGGCCATCCATCCATCACCTCTCCAAAAGCAGGGATAAGTAGCTGCTGCTGTCCCAGCCCTCCTCTCCTCACCCTCCTCCAGACAACGTTTGGTTAAGCCCCCGGCCTCACAATAGTGCACCATATGGCCGTGGCCCTGGGGAGCAGGCCAGGGCCCCTATGGAATGTGAAGCCATTATCTTCTACTCCCTCCCGCCTGGCCTGGCAGCATTGTCAGAGCCCAGGGGGAGTGGGGGCAGCCTGGAATGGAGGAGAGGCTTATTTTGGATTAAGGAGCTGGAGACCAAGTGGGGGCAGCCAAGCGAGAGACAGACACAGAGATTGAGACAGAAAGGAGATAGAGAAGAGAGGTAGAGACAGAGAGAAGAATGGAGAGGGGGATAGAAGGGGAGAGAAAGGGGGACAGAAAGGGGGAGAGGAAGAGATGAAAAGAGAAGGAGAGGGAAAGAGAGGAGACAGAGGAGGGGGGAGAATGAGAGACATAGAAAGGGGGCAGAGATGGGGAGAAAAATGGATAGAGAGGGGGAATACAGGGAGAGAAGGAGGGGAAGAAAGAAAGAAAGACAAGTGGGAAAATGAAAGAGAGGAGAAGGGACAGACAGAAAGAAGAGAGGGAGAGGGGGGAAAGAATGAGAGACAGAAAGGGGAGAGAAAGAGGGGGAAAGAGAGAGAGAGAGGAGAGGGAGGACAGGAAGGGGCAGAAATAAAAAGAAAAAAGGGATAGGGAGAGGAGAGGAAAGAATGAGACAAGCAGAGAGAAAGAGGGGGAAAGTAAGATGGGGAAGAATGAGAGACAGAGAGAGGAGATAGAGAAGTAGAGACAGGAGAAAGAAGAGAAGGGGAGGGAAAGAAGAGAGAAGGAGATAAGGAAAGAAAGAGAGGGAGAGAGAGAGAGAAAGAGAAAGGGGGAGAGGGAGACAGGGAGAGAAAGAGGGGTAAAGAGAAAAGGCGGAGATTGGGGGAGAGAGGGACAGACACAGAGAAGTGCAGAAATGGGATCGGAGGCTGTCAGGGCTCTCCCCTCCTTCCCTTCCCTCAGACTCTAGGAGGAGAAAGCCTGGCAGGTGAAACCTGAGGGCTCCCTGGTCTCATGAACTAGGCCCACAAACCTCTGTCTGCCTTTCCTCAGTCACAGGAGGCAGGGACGCTAGGTGCTTCTGGTGTCTGTGGCTGGGGAGGTGGGTTCAGTCTCCTAGGTCCTTTGCACTCTGGCTATCACACACCACGGCATTTGAAGATAAGCCCTGGGCTGAGAGCTGTCAGGTGCCTGGGCTTTGGCAGAGGAGGTATCAGGGGTGCTTCTCTCATTTTGTTGGAAGTGTGTCCCTTAGAAGCAGCCTTGAAATTTTTCAAGGTCTTTGATTTCCCCTTGGAGAAATGCCCCCTCCAGCATCGTGTCTGGCCAGCTCACAGTCTCAAATCCCTTGCTTTGCTGGCCCTGGTTATGATGCCATGTACCCTCGTGGGTATGCATCACTAAAAAATCTTGTATCTGGCATACTGGGGGCATCAGAATGCTCAGCACCTCTTGGTTTGCATTGTACAATGAGGAATCACATAGACCTCCCCCTCCAGGAGCCGGGAGATGGAAAGGGTAGCATTCTTACAAAAGGTCATATGAGAAATCTGGTCAGAGTGGAAAGCAGGGTTCCACCTCCTACAAACAGACCTCCTTGACCATAGCTAGACTATACTCCCCACTGTTGTACGTCAATCTTCCCAGCTAGAACCATAACTAGGGCTGGGCAACTGGAGAATTGATGCAGGCTTAGGTGCTGGTAGTACTTATACTCCTTTAATGAGTAGAAACACCTGGGCTTAACCTTTAGTTAGCAACTATGGGGGACAGGAACAGAACCTCTAATTTCATTTGTACAGGGAATTCTCGGATGAGAAGTCGGCCTTGACTAATGATGTTCAGCTAGTTAGTGAGAATAAAAGTTAAAAGTGGAAGCTGTCTCTCCAGGGGAGCATTTCCCGGGGCCAGTTCTAGTTTGTTTCCTGCATCAGCCTCAATAATGCCCAGGCTCTGTTTCCCCTGCCACGAAGTACTGTTACTTCTCCGGGGGGGGGGGGGGGGGGGGGGGGGGGGGGTTACTCCTCCAAGACCCAGCAGCCGATCCAGTGGTAATAAGTAGACCACCCACCTTTCTCAGGGTTCACCTAGTGCCAGAATTGCTGTCTGTGACTCAGTTTCCAGCCCTCCGTCCCTTCCTCACCTAGCTTCTTGTACCAGGGCTGCCTCATCTGACTGACTTACAGCCCCCAACCCAGCAGGATCCCGGGTCCCCAGCCCTGTGGGCTCGAGGTGAGGGGAGGAAGGTGGGTCTGAGCAGAGCAGAGAACAAGCCAGGAGCAGGTGGCTCAACAGCCCTGATGGTACTTCTGGGGAGGTGGGGGAAGGAAAGAAAAGCCGACATCAGAAATACATCCGCATTTTCTTCTTTTTTCTCTTTTTAAAACAATATAGTGCAGACAGCACTTCTCACAGTAGAATATAATGGTCAATTTTAGTACAAAAAAACATTCTCAGAGATTTGTAAATGCACTTAGTGCTTGCACAGGCCTTGCAGAACGCTTTCTGTCTGAGCACGACTGGTGTGGGCAGGCGGGGAAGAGGAGCTTGGGGCCGGAGGTGAGGGGAGGCATGGGAAGCAGAGGGGCTTTCTAGAATGCAGACCCCCTGGGATTCTAGGCTTCTCACTCCACCAACGGACCTGGGCAATGGCTGGGGGCAGGGAAGGACTTAGGAGGGGTCCCAAGAAAATGTGAAATAAATACCCAAGGACCAGAAAATAAAGCCACTAACTTAGTTGGTGGCTAGGGGTGGGGGAGGGGAGTGAGAATGACAGGCAGGGTGCTTTTTTTTAATTTCAGAAAAACAAAAATCTGAGGGTGAAAATAAAGGAGATAGTTGGGGTGGGGGTGGGGAGAACGGGTCCTGGGCTTTGAAAATCTAACGTTTCTCTAATTCCTACTGGGTTAGGGAAGGCGGAGGGAGGAGAGCGGCCAGTGGGCAGCAGGGTCTGGAGACCTTCCAAAGGCTCCAGTGACCCCGAAGACTGCCCTGGATGGGGCGGGGTAGTGTCCGCTTCGACCCCACCTGGGATGCCTCAGGAGGGAGGCATCCCGGGCCAGGGGGAAGAGGTTGTGAATACGGCAGCAGAGCTGGCTTGCCGAGGGGGTGGGGGGGGGGGGGAGGACAGGGACAGGACAGTCGTAGGGCCTCCTCGGGTGGCCTTTACTTCTGGGCTCTTTTATTTCTGCCAAGAGGGCTGGGGGATTAGGGGGCTGCATCCAGAGTGGACCGCAGGGGGAGGGCCAGGGAGTCAAGGTGGGAGGGAAATGGGATTCCACAGTCTGGCCCCTCCTCCATTCCCCCCGCCCCATCTTCCACTCATCCAATCTAGGATTTGGTGAAGCCCAATCCCAGACTAAGTGGGAAGGGCTGGAGGGGGCCAGGCTCCGTCTTGGCAGCAGCCAGCACAGAAGTGAGCGGGAGGGGTGACTAAAACGTGGTTTCATCCATGCTTTCCAAGCGGTTTCTTTTGCTTTCTCTAGACTGTCCCCAGTTATTCACTTTTTTTTTGCAAAGCAGTGCAAGGGCAGGGTTTCCCTGGACAGCGGCTGCAGAGCCTGGCTGGGCGTGCACCCTCCTGCCTCGTCTTCGGGGGCTCTGGCCAGCCCTCCCGCTGCCCCCTCTCCTCCAAGTAGCACCCCGCCCCCCCGCCGTCTGCCAGAGAGCAGCAGTAACCGATGCCTGTGCTCCCCGCTTCCGAAGGCTCAGGACCCCGCTCTGCCCCTCCCTCCTGGCCCTGGAGCGTGTGTCCAAAGCCCCTCCGGGTCTCCCGGCTGCCCTGGCCTGGGCCCCTCCCTGCTTGGGCGCCTGTGGAGGTATGAGGAGGGGCACACGGTGGCAACGTGGCCCCCGCCCTCTCGCTCCTGGCCTTCTCCGGCCCGTTCCCTGCCCTCCTCGTCTGTCTGTCCGGACCAGAGCCCCCCCGGGCCTTATCTGTAGACGGGCAGGCGAATGTGGGCGTGTTGGTGGTCCAGAAGCCGGGGGACGGACACCGTCTCGTACCCTTTGCCTAGCATCTGCTCCTTGATGCAGGGCGGGTGGATGTCGTTGATGAGGTACTCCAGGGACTGCAGGCTGCTGCTCAGGATGGACGTGTTGCATGCCGTCTTGCTGGGGAGGCCCGACAGCGCGTCGGCCGGGTGCACAGCCAGCTCCCGAGCTCCCGGGCCCACCTCCGGCCCGGGGTTGTAACAGTCACTGTTGGGGGTGACCAGGATGCTGTTCCACGGGGGCGCGAAGTAGGGGCCCACGGAGAAGTTCCCGTGCATGCCCACGCAGTTCAATGGGGAGGAGCTCACTTTGTCCCCGGCGGCCCCGCTCAGGAGGTAGGGGGGGCGGGTGGCGGCCGCGGCCCCCGCCCCCGCCCCGCCCCCGCACACGTCGGGGGACTTGCTCACCGCCCCGCCCCCACCGCTGCCCCCACTGTACAGCCGCAGTTGCTGCTGCGGCTTTTGGGGCCAGATTAAATAGTCCAGGCCGGCCCCGCTGCCATCCGGGTACCCGGCGGGCTTGAGGCCCCCCAGGGCCATGGCCGGCGTGGCCCCCACGACCAGCTCGGCCCCTTTGCGGCAGTCGGGCAGCATGGCGCTGGCGTAGGCCATGGCGGACCCAGCCACGCCCGAGAAGCCGGCGGGGGTGGCCGCCGCGGTGCGCTTGGCCGGGCTCGGGTGAGTGACCGCTCCCCCCTGGCAGGCCGCCTGGGAGCCCTGTGCCTGGCACTGCTGGTTGACCTGGTAGATGATACTCTGAATGGAGGGCAGGTTAGACGGGGGCAGTGCCAGCCCGCGCCCGGCCAGAGGGATGACCGAGGCGGCCACCGTGACGTTAGGGGGCGGGGCAGGTCCCTCCAGCGGCTTCTGCCCCCCGTGGTAGCCCAGGTGGACGGCGCTGGGCCCTAAAGTGCTCGACAAGGGGTAGGGCGCGATGCCCACCTGCACAGCCGCAGGCGATAGCTTCGTCCGCTTGCCCTCCACGCTCTTGACCACACCTTTGCCGGAGGAGGAGGAGGAAGAGGAGGAGGAGGAGGAGGAGGCAGCAGCAGCAGGGGCAGAGACAGAGCTGGAGGAGGAGACCGCCGCTTTGACGATGGCCAGCAGGCCTTGGTAGCCGCTGGCGTGCAGCGGGTAGGGGCTGTAGCGCTGGCCCGTCGTGTCGTACCCATTGACCGTGCGGCTAAGGTGTTTGTGCTGCGGGACGCGAATGTTGGTGGGGAAGATCTTGATGCTGAGGGGGCTGTTGGCCACCTTCTGGGCATAGGCGTCCAACTCAGCTGGGCTCGGGTACCTCGGGGAATGCGTGGAGCTCACCGGCTCACCTAGGACACAGAGACACAGGCAAGCGTTAGAGTTCTCTCTGGGCTGGGAGCCGCTGCCCCGGCTGCCCCAGGCCCGACGGGGCCCCCTCCTCTTCCCCAAATCTTATCAGGTGGTTCCCCCACCCTGAAGTTCTGTTCTATAGTGGGTCCTTTCCTCCCGGGCATTAACACCGGCTGTGCTGCCCCAGCTCCCCCAGGGCTGGCGGGCTCCCCCCTCTTCCCTAACTCTCCCCACTCCAGGACATCTGATCTATAGTGCCTCTAGGAGCTCTGGGTCTTTTCCTCCTGGGTATTAACACCAGTTGTTCTGCCCTGACCCCGTGTTGGGTTTACTGGATTCCCATCTCTCTGCTCTCCTCTGGCCCCTCCAAACTGCTGAACAAGTCCTTGTTTTCAGGACCTCCCATGGTGCCCACATCTTCATTCAGGCCCTCAGACACCATCACCACGACTTGCAGAACCTAAGGCCCTCTAGGCCTTGGCATCCACCCTGCCCGGTGCTTCCGGAAGATTTCCATGCACTGCTGGGAAACTTTCTTTTACAAGATGTCCGCTCCAATTAGGACAAGACCCCCTTAAGGAGTGCAAAAACTGCCTCATCTTCTCCATTTGTAAACTGGCCATTAGCACGGTGCTTGGGTCGGAGGAAGCCCTTCAAAATGCCTTTCACTCAATCCTTTTCACTCATTCCCTCATTCATCCAGTCATCTGTTCACTCTCTCCCCAAAGCCAGCTAAAGGTGATTACAAATTATTCTTAATCATAAGCGGTAGAGCACAGGAGAATGAACCCTGGGTTTGGAATCAGAGGTCCTGGGTTCGAATCCCTGCTCTGCCAGGTACCACTCTGCAAAAGCAGGACTAGATGGGCTCTTTGTAGGTCTCTTCTGGTTCTGACCTGTGATGCTTACACTCACTGCTGGGCGAGGGGGTGTTCCGGGCCTGGACCAGGAATGACCCAGTTGGGCCATGCCTCCTGCAGAGGGGAGTTGAGTTGAGTGCTGAAGGGGAGCAGAAGCCAAAGGGGCAGAGGCTAGGAGGGAGGACAAGCCAGGCATCCAGTACAGTTTGATTAAAGGGATGGAGGCAGAATCTGGAGTTCAGGGAACAGTAATCAGGTCAGTTTTGCTGGAGCATAAAAAAAGATGAAGGGGAGAAACGTGAAATCTGCCTGGAAAGGTGGGCTGGAGCCAGATGGCAGAAGGTTTTAAAAGCCAGTCAGAATATCGGTTGTAAGTAAGGGTTATGTTTTTTCTTTCTTTTTCAAGGTGGAGGAGGGAGGAAAGTGAGGCAAGAAAATAAATTTTGGTTAATTTTTAAAATGTATATGAATATATCTGTAAACAAACAAACCTATCTACATCTCCAGGCAGAGGACTTTGTGTTTGCCATGGAGAACTTTTTTGGCCAAGTCTTGTCTCCCTAGCAAGATGAGAAGCACCCCCCCCCAAAAAAAAGATGAGAAGCCCCCTGAAGGCAGGGGCCGGGTACGGTCCTTCTAAAATCTCTTCCATAGCACGTGCCCTGGCACTGGGTACACAGGGTGCTCAGCGAATACCTCCTCACCTGCCTACCTTTGACCCCTGTAAGCCCATGACCTCATCCTGGTTTCCCATTAGACCATAAGCTCTGTGAGCCCCTCTGGCTCCCACAGGCTTCCACCCTGCCCCCATCAGAGCAGCAGAGGCACCAGGGCCTGGCTAACGAGGCTGGCTCCAGTGCTCGTCCCCAGAGAAGCAGCCTCTGGAGTGAGCCCATCACTCTGACTCCTTCCCGGGCTGGCAGCCCCCGCCCCGCTTGGCTTCTCCGAAAGGTGCTGGGACCCCGCCTGCCCGCCCGCCTGCCTTCTTCCCTCACCCTGTCTCTGCTGTTGACAGCAGGATGAGCGGGCGGCCATGCCTTATTTATGAACTGTCAGTAATGGGGTTGAAGAGTGTAATTTACATGACACATTAAATGTCCAAGCTGTTAGCCAAAACAAACAGCCGTCAACGCAGGCAGGATGGCCCTGAGACCTTCCCTTATGGACTCCTCCCCTCCCCTGCCCAGCCCTCCCCTGCCTCCCGGCCCCCTCCAAGCCCAGGCTCACCCAGTGCCCCTTGAGAAGGAACCGAGGGTCTCCTGAGGCTCCAGTGTCCTCACTTGGGAGATGGGGATCAAAATATTGGTACTGCCCACCTCCCAGGCCTGGAGTGACCCACAACATGTCAAGGACCTGTGATTCTCCTGGCAGAACTGCAGCCCTCTTGTTATGTGTGGTCTTAGAGAGCTGCCCAGGGCTCAGGGCACTTAAGCAAGTCTGCCAAGGTCACATAGATAGTAGTAAGCAGTTAGGTGGCGTCTGAATCCAGGTTGTCCTGAATCCAACCGTGTCTCTCTGTCTCTGTCTCTGTCTGTCTTTCTTTTTCTCTCCATACATATACTCGCCCACACATATATATATACATTTATATATGTTCCTCTGTGTGTGTGTGTGTGTATGTTTAAGCGTATGTGTTGCATGCACGAGCAAAAGGAATAGGGGGTAGACTGGTTTAGGGAACTCCCAAATAAGGATAGTCCCTCCACTAACAATGGTTGGCACCTTTCTTAGTGAGTTTTGGCACTAAGAGGTTAAGCCACTGGCCTGAGACCCCACAGCCAGGAAGCATTGGAGGTGGGTAGGATTGGAACCCAGGTTTGCTTGAATCTCTGTCCAATTCACTCTCTGCTATCCCAGTGAAGGCCAGGAGGGTTAAAGGCTGGATTCTGGATTTAATTAGTTGGTACAGGGGTAACTCCCAGCGGAAGAAACTCCCTCCACTGGAGCAGTGTGGTGCCTTCTCCCAGTCTGAGACTTGCTTAGAATACTGAAGGTCAGTGGCTCATCCCATCTCAATGACAGCTGTCATTAGGATTCTCTGGGAATACTCCATGGTCTGGGCTCTGCATCCAGTCGGTACTCAATAAATGGTGGTATCCGATGGCTCCCTAGGTCCTGTCGGTCAGGCAGAGTTCAGGGTCCTCTGTTTTGGGGTCCCTCTATCTCCTCTTCAGCGTCCATACCTCCTCCAGAGCAGGGCTCCACCCCCCCAGGGCAGGACTCACCGCTGCCCCTCCTCTCCCTCATCTGTTCCTCCCTCCCCTGCCTGAGGTCACCCCAGTAGTGCTGACAATGAATCCCCTCGTCAAACCGTCCCTCTCTTCCCTAGGCTAGCCCAGGCAGACCTTTCGCCTGAGGCCAGGAGCCTCAGTGGCAAACACCAGTGGTGCCAAGCAAGCAGGGGAATTGATTCCCCATTCGGATCCATTTTCAATGCAATCCAGCAAACCTTTATTAAGCACTTACTGTGTACCAGACACTGCTTGCTGGTGAGGGGGCAAAGACCCAAACCAAACCCTCCCTGGCCCCGTTCTATGGACCTTTCATTTTAGGCAGCGGCTGAAAGGGCTCAGTGGCCTTTTTGTCTCCCCTGTGCCTGAATGGGGACATTCTCTACAACACCTCTGACCAGTGGTCACCTGCTCTCTGCCTGGAGACCCGTGGTGATGGCACCCTCACCACCTCCCCAGATGGCCTACTGCCCATATGGGAGGCTCCTTGTTCCATGGAGCTGGGCTCTCCCTCTTCAGGCTCCCAGGTCTGTCCTGCAGGGCCAGGCTGCCATCCCACTCCCCTCCCAGGCAGCCATCCCACTCCTCTCCCAGGCTGCCATCCCACTCCCCTCCCAGGCAGCCACTCCCCTCCCGCTGGTCACTCCTGCCTCTCCTAAGTCTTCTCAGGCTAACCTCCAGTTCCTTCCAATGGTGCTCGTTGGGAGGGCCTCAGCTCTCCTCCAGTATTAACATGGGTGGCATGGGCTCCCTTTTCTTTCACAGGATTTAGAAGTGACCTGGACCAGAGTGCCTGACTTCAGAGGACTTTTGGGGGCTCGCTATCCTGTGAAGCACATTCTCTGTTCTCGGAATGATCTCTCTTCTCCCCTCCCCCTTGCACAATTCCCAGCTTCCTCCAAAGTACAGGCCAGGTGCCCCTCCCTACAAAACACAAGTTTGTATTTACCCTGTATAGACTCTATATGAAGAGGCAGCCTTGGGTCACAGACAGAAATTGAGGCTTTAAAACAGGAGACCTGCGCTCAAATTCTGCCTATGATGCAGGCAGAGAAGGTGCCAACTTTCCGGACAGGAGGAGTTTCTACACCTGGGAGTTCTTTACAGCAATGAAGTCACAGGTGTCATCCTGAGCCCTACGTTTTACACGAAACAAAGTGTAATGTAGTGCAGAGAGAGGGGACCCCGAGGACAGAAGGCCTGGGGTCAGGTCCAGGCTCTCCACAGTGCTCCTGCAGCTGTCTGAGACCGAGCTGCAGGACAGCTAGGGCACAACTCTGGTACTGGATGTTTCTTCGTTGGGGGGTTGCTTTCTTGATGAAATCACAGCCCTAGACTGAAAAAAAGAACATTCTATATGCTTCTCTGTGCATGTTTGGCTTTCCCTCAATAGAACATAAGCATTTAAGGTAGGGACTGTCTGGTTAAGGAGGCAGTGGACAGAGGGCTGGAATCAGGAAAACCTGCCTCTGACCATGGGCACTTAACTCCTTTCAGGCTCAGTCTTCCCATCTGTAAAATGGGGACAATAACAGCCCCCACCTCCCAGAGTCATTGAGAGGATGGAATGGGATGATACACACAGTGTTCTGCTAACCCTAAAGTGCCTTAAAATGTTTGCTGTTATTATTTGCCCCAGTGCCAGGACCAGATCAAAAACTCAGCAGATGCCTGCTGAATTGAATTTCTATGAGAGGATGGTAGAGGGCACATTTCTAGGCCTGTTCCCCACCTCCCCTTAGACTCCAATTTGCCCTGTGCCTCTCTCTCTGCTCTGCTCCACATGCCCCCTGGGAGTGCTCCCACTCTGGCCGGCGGCCTCCTTTTCCTCTGGAAGCTCCGTCCCCAGGGAGGCAGCGATGGACCCCAGGCCAGTTTTGCCCAGGATCCCAGCCTTCCCGCAGCTCG